TTTTTAAGTTAGTAAAGTTTTGCTATCTTTATTTCAAGCATGGTGTAAGTTGCGTATATTCCATATTGCCATCACAAGAAAAAAATTCAATTTCCCAGAAGCGGTAAATGCAAGTTTTATTTGAAGAATTTATATTAAATCCAAGAGCAGGCATTTCTTGCTTACTGCAAAATGTAAGTGATAACACTATATAGCAGGGTGAGTGAATAGGTTTGTAGTTTTATGTGGCTAAACAAGAGGAGCCCAGTGCATTAGTTGATCTGCATACACGCCAGAAAAGCAGTTACATCCTTTCTTTCCAAGGACAGTACAGCAGCTAACAATTAGCATCAGAGAGGTACTCTATACACATTTTTTCTACAGGATGGCATGTATATTTGGAACAATGAATGATACTTGTTCATGTTATTTTTCTATTTTACTTTAAGTGATGGGGAACTTGCTTAGAAACTGGTGGTTGGAAAGAAAAAGGACTGAAAGGTAGGGAGTCTTTGTCCTCAATATTCCCGCTAGCTCGCTATCTGGCCTTTTGAAAGTCAATAGAATTGATGGGGAGGAAAAAGCTCACTTTCAGAGGGGGAGAAAAAAGTGTGTGTGTGTGTGTGTGTGTGTGTGTGTGTGTGTGTGTGTGTATCTATATGTATGTATGTATATATATATGCTTAAATCTGAACGAGCCTATTTGGGAATGCCACTGCTACAGATTCTGGGAGTTGTAACTCATGATTTCGCCATGCTGATCTTGTCAGTAGCACAGACTCAGGTTGCAGTAAGCTCTCATACAAATTGCCATCCACCCTTGACTAAACGAGGCAGGGCTTCATGTAAGGGTCATAGAAGTTGAAATCACAGCTCCTGGATGACTCCTGGAGGAGATCAGAGTCATCTTTTTTTGCAATATGTTAATATTCAGTCAAATGTATTCTAGATACTATTTTATTGAAAAAAAAGACACAAAAATAATGACTTTTTTTTTTCCAAAACCTGCTGCAGTTGCCCAACTCTATTTAATAACATCTTCATGCTTCATCTTTTCTATAAGGAATATGATTGCCCTGGTGATTGTCCAGATGAACAAAGAAATCTGAACTCTGAATGTAAATCCTTATATATATATGGATAAACATATATTTTGTGCCTTTGCAGACTCCTGTGGTGTTCAAACAGCAATTCGGTTGCTGTTTGCAGTCCTGCAAATGGAATCATGTAAGTAGATTTCCTGTGGGTTAATTAAATCACCAGGTTTTGAAAGTATGACTGTTTTTACCTTTTTTATTTTTTTCTTTTCTTTCTTTTTTTTTTTTTTCCTGTCAGGAAGTTCTTTTCTCTTTTTTTACCCAAACTAGAACCTGGACAGTCAGAGCTCTGGGGATGACCTTGTTCATGTTACCATCCTTATTATATGAAGGTGTAGGAATTCAGTAATAAAATACATATCATAAGAAAATACAGTGAAATAAATACAGGATTTAACCAAGCACTTTGTAAAAGCATAAGCTGTCCTGGGGAGAGAAAGTTTCGTTCCAGCATATGTGGAGAGCTTTTAAAACTTCCAAAAGCCGGTTCAGGACCCTGCAGGTGCAAATACCTGGTTTACAGATATGATGTACAGACCGTTTCCTTGTTCTATCCATTACTTGCTTTAATTCAAAGCCATTTTAAGTATTAGCAAAGTTCCAGCCTGTCACCAAATACAATTATTCACAGCAATAGACAGAGACATTGACAGACTGCACAGGCTTTAATGTAGTTTAGGGCTGGGGCCTCCTTGCACTATGTGGTAATTTAGCATGGCTGATTGTGCAGACCAGCAGAAGCTTGGGAACTTTACTTATAATGAATGGGCAAAACACAGTGTTTCACTACATGAAACATAAACTGGATAATGCTGTTCCTCAGTGCCAGTGGAAGTGAAGTGGGATTTGTTTGTTGCATAGGACAGTTAGGGTCATGCTGTTTTCTTCAGCCCTTTGGGTCGTGATGCACTCACTGCAGAAGTACTGTTGAAGCATTAGTACAGCTAAATTAAAAATGAAATCAGGAGTGCTTACACAGAACTAAGAAACAGCAGGAAATGACTTCCAATAGTTCACTATTTCCTTGATCCAAGAGGGATAGCAATGTAAATTCCTTTTTAAAGAAGGTCCTTCCTCTATTTTTTATTTCATTTTGCCTGTATTATCTAGTCCATGACCTATATTTGAAACAAGTATATTTGAAAAATATACTTCAAATACAAGTACATTTGAAACATATACTTAAAGGCTAGCAAGCTGCATGGGCACCATGTGCAATCTAGCACATGCATATATTTGAAGGCCTTCATCACTGTCCTCTACAAAATCACTGAGAAGTTACTTTTGAAATGAGTGTAAAAATCCATGAAGAATGTGAGCACATCAGAAATCGCTGAGTCATGGAAGACAAAGATGGAATACATGACAGATTTGGACATAATGGAAATGACATCTTTTTGTTCTTCTATTCACCAAATTTTCTGTAAACTTTTTTCTCTTGTTCAGACTTGCCTCTGAGGTGAAAGATTTTCCATGATGCACAGGGAAATACATTTACCTTCTGCCATTCTCCAGGAATTCAATCCGCCTTATGTATATGCACTAAACTTCATTGGGCTGTGTAAGCATGGTGGCTTGTTTAGAGCTAGACATGTATTGCTAGACTAGCCAGTCCGTATGCATATGCTAGACTAGTCAGTCCATGCTGACTACTCCTGATCCCCTTCTTTTCCTTGACACGGCTAGAGATGCTCTCTAGGATGAGCTGTTCCATCACCTTTCCAGGGACGGAGGTGAGGCTGACTGGTCTGTAGTTTCCCGGCTCCTCCCTCTTGCCCGTTTCGAAGACTGGAGTAACGTTGATTTCTTCCAGTCCTCTGGCATCATTCCCGCTCTCCATGACCTCTCAAAGATGATGGAGAGCAGCTGAGCGATAACTCCTGCCAGTTCCCTCAGCACTCTTGGGTGCATCCCATCCGGGCCCACAGATTTATGGGTGGCGAGTTTGCCTAAATAATCCCTAACACAATCCTCCTCGACCAGCAGAAAGTCTTGTTCTCTCCCAGTTACTTTCTTTTACCTGGGCTCTGTAGTTCATGGGGACTAGCCTTAGCAGTAAAGACAGAGGCAAAGAAGGCATTTAGTAACTCTGGCTTCCCTGCATGCCCCATCACCAAGGTACCAGCACCATTCAGCAGCAGACTAACATTTTCCCCAGTCTTCCTCTTGCTGCTGATATATTTATAGAAGTCTGATATATTTATAGAAGTCGTACAGACCTGGATGTGGAAGAATTTCCCTCATCTTGCTCCCTGCTTTGCATTTATTTCCTTGAAACTTTCTCTGCTCCTCTGGTCCTTCCAAACATTACTGCTCTACTATTACCTATTACTTCTGCTGTTATGCCATGCTCGTTGCCCCTTCCCGGTGATCATGGGCCCAGTGGCACAGAGTGCTTTTCTGCCTCGGTCCCTCCCTTGTCGCGGGGACGGACAGCGCCGTCGCTGGGCTCCCGGAGGCAGCCCCAGAGCCACGCGCGGGGCCGGGCCGAGCAGCCCRGGCAGCTGCAGCGCGCGCCGCGACCACGCGAGGGCGCCGCTCCGGCTCCCGTCTCCTGGCGYCTTCCAGTCCCGCCCGCGCAGGCTTTGCTGCGCGTGCGCCCCGCGCGCGGTCGGCGCCTGCGCAGTAGGGGAGGGGCCGGTCGGCGCCGCGGCCGGGCGCTTTGCGCGGCAGCGATGGCGGCGAGGAGGAGCGGGRGGGAAAGGAGGGCTCCAGGGGCGCCCGCGACGAGGCGAGCGCGGCCCTCGGGGGTCCCCGGGCGGGCGTCGGGCTCGTCCCGCCCGCTGGGGCCGTCGCTGCGCGGAGGCGGCCGCGCGGCGCGAGGGCTCCGCGGGGCCGGCTCCGGCGGAAAGCGAGGCTGGGCTGCCCTCTGCGCGAGGGCTCTAGGGCTTTTGGAGGGAAAATTTTATTGGAAAGGAAATTATTTCGGCGGAGGGGGAAAAAAAAAAGTTTTTTTTTTCGAAGGGAAAAGAATTTTCAGAAGGAAAATTTGGCAAGGGGGGTTACTTTTTGTAAGGATTTTGGGTTTTGAGGTTTTTTTTTGGGTGGTGGGTAGGTAGATTTTGTTTGTTCTTGTGGGGAGGAAAAATAGTTTTTTTAGGAGGTTGGTTTTTTTTTTTTTTTTTTTTTTTTTGAGAATTAGGTTTAGGTAAAATCTCCTAATGACTGACTATATAAAGGCAATATAATCAATATTGGCCATATGAATAATATATTGAAGCAAAACAGTTTTTGTTTCTTTTTTTTTTTCCTGGATGATGTTTTCAGCTAGACACTTGTATTCCCAGCATTTAAATCAGGCTTCAGTAAAGTGCATGTAGGAAAATAATTTTGAAGAAATATTTAACTTTAAAAATTTTTAGTATGTACTAGGCAAATATCTGAACTTTGGATTTTTTTTTTTTTTTTTTTCATCACTGTTATCAAACAGGAAGAAAGCATAAAACAGTAACTGCTTTTTTATAATTGCCCAGGTAAAAGTAAAAGCTATATATTTCCTTTTTTTTTTTTTTTTTTTTTGGTAGTAGGAGGAGTAGTAGGAGAAACAAATGTATGATCTAATGAAATGATGATTGGGGGATGGAATTGCTAAGTAGATCGTATTTTCAAACTCAGAAGTTACTGGAAGAAGTTCAGTGTCCTTGTCCTTGAATTAATAAATCACATGTCTCAGAAACAGTAATTAAGAAAAAGATCATGAAAACGTTTTAAGTTTAGATATCATTCAGTGTAAAGTGTTTCCTTTAGCAGATAAAGATTACTGCTTTTTAAAAAAAAAGAAATGCTTACTCTTGCAAAGCTGGCACAAGCTGCAGTGTTTGGATGGCAATGTTAGGTATGTTCATAGGGTCAAGAGTTGCTTCCCCCCACCAGAGAGAAGCTCCCATAAAACTTTGTTTTGACAGCTTTGCCTTTTCATTATTTTTAGTTCACTTCAAAGCTGCACTAATGTCTGATGTAGTTAAGTGGTAAAATTAGAGAATTCAGCCTTACAGTAGTGCTGTTCATTGGGGATCTACTAAGTAGATGTCATTAGTTCCATTTAAGTTGTATAATTGCAGATGAAAAGAGAGGTAAGAGCATCTTAGTGCATTGAGTAACTGTGTTTTTCTTTACAAAGCTCTCATAACTACTAGTAAATCCTACTGGTAGGATACATCCTGAAGCTTTTCTACAGAAATGATCTGGGAAGACTACTTCGCATATGGGAGGAATGCACTGTTGTGGACTGCGAACTGCCAGGAACCAGCTGGATATTTCACTAGTGATTTTTTTCATTTTCGCGTTGCCAAATTTGTGTTGTTTTTACTAATTTAAAAAGAAGTCATCCAAGCAGTGTGCTGTCAACTCAGTAGGGACGGTAAAGCAAAGACAAGGAGAGAGCAGGTAAAAGCCAGACACTGCTCAAGGGGAGATCAGGCCTCAACCCATGGGGGAGGTGGTTCTTCAAATTATGCAGTGTGTAAGGTAGGTAGAACCTTGCTTTAGAGTGAGTGAAAAAATGGGAAGTATTAATTTTGGGGATTTTCTGGCGAAAGTCGTCTCTTTTCCTGTTAAGATAATGCGTAAAATGTGTGCGTGCTTTTGTGTGCGTGTTTTGGTTTATTTTGGGGGGCTTAATTTCCGCTAGTCCAAGTATCTAGGATTAGGGAATTCTGTCTGCATTAGCAAGCCTAGCTCAACATTTAATGCCCAGCATGTATTCCAGTGTTGCCAGCAGGCTAGAGTTAATGTTCTGCTTCCGCCTGGGAGCAGTGGTTTCAAAGCAGGGTGTCTGAGCAGGATGAACTGTGTGCCTGGAGCTGCTGCTCCTGTTTGGTTTCTCAGGTAGAACAACTTTTTGTCCTGCAGACAGGTGAGATGAGACAGCTTCAGTGCTACCCTTTCCAGGGCTGCTTAATGTGGTACAAGTGAGAAGTGTAACCAAACTCAGCATCCTGCTCCTGTAAGAAGACAAGGATGGTTTCTGGGTTCTTTCCTCTACTTGGAACTCTTCCTTAACCCTTTAAAGCTTCAAAATGAGAACGAGGCAGGACATATTGGTCCATAGGTGAGAGATTTTTTGTTTCTCTGTTTAGGATAGCGAAACTTGTTACCTGCATCAGAAGTAAAATTTTATACATTTTTTATATCCCCCCTATATTGCCTTCCAGTTTAAATCATAACCTCCCAGTGACCGTTTGGGCCATAGATGCTTGTAGTACTATTAGAAATCTTGCATCTTCTCCTTCAGTATAGAAACAATGGAACAGCTACAGCCAGGACAACATCCTGAGGTAAGTCTGCTGGAGTGGGGGGCGGAGAGAGTGGGTCTGTGTGTCGTAAGGGTAGCAACAGAAATATCATATCTCTGAAATATTATTTTTTTGGAGGGAGGAGGGTTGTCACTAATTTTAAACTAATCTTTTTATATATGTGTATATATGTATATATAAATGCAGCCTCTAAGTAATTTTAGTGTGTATTTTGCACTGTTGAGATGAAAACTTGGTTCCTGAAGCCTTCAGAAGCAGCTACCTGCTTCAACAAAGACAGGCCCAACTCTTAGTGTTTTTTTCACATCGTAATAGGGTGTGATGGTGGTTTAAGAAAAATGGAACAGCTACTCTGGAAACTAGAGATGCCTCTTGACCTGCGGCAGGAAGACGCCCTGGCGGTGCTGTTGCCTCTCGTTCACGTGCGCGCAGCGGGTAGGCGGTGCGCATGCGCCGAAGGACGACTAGGCTGTGCACGTGCTCAAGGATCGGGTCCGCGCATGCGCCTGTCATGGCAGGGGCCACTCCCGCGTACCGCCGCTCGCGCTGTGCTCTGCTGCCTTCGCRTGGCCGGCTCCATAGTCGGCAAGGGTGGGAGCGCATGCGCAGTGCGGTCCGGAGTGCGCTCTGCTGCTACCCTCTGGCTACGCCCACTCCTGCAAGGTGCAGGGGCTGCCCGTGCGCGCGGCCTTCCCCGYGCTCTGTGCTGCCCGGTAACGGGTACTGCAGAGGAGTGACGCGTACGCGCCGCAGCTGCTGGGCACTGTGCTCTGCTGGAGAAGTACTGCAAGGGCTTTGGAGGACACACATGTGCAGTGCACTCAACTCTGCTACCATCATGTGTCCACCAAGTGGTTCTGCAATAGTAAGAGGTGGGGCCAGCAGGAGCCAACTTTTCCCAAGCCCAGTGCTCCCATAGCATGTTTCAACCCCAGTATTCCCATGGAAATGGAAACACATGAGCATTCTGAAGAATGAGAAGAATATAGGCGCATCGTCAGAGAATGCAGATGTGCCGTGAGGAAGGCCAAGGCCTGTCTGGAATTACAGTTAGCGAGGCATGTCAGGAATAACAGGAAGGGCTCTATAAATATGTCAGCAGCAAGAGAAAGACTGGGGAAAATGTTAGTGTGCTGCTCTCAATAATGATTCTCTTCCTCTACAGCTAATTATTCTCTTCCTTACCTGCTAATAATTACAGTCCTCTCCTGATTCCTTTTTTCTTTTGGCAATAATTCCCTTTTTCACACCCTTATATTTTTCTTTCTTTCCTATTAATTACCACTTTCTCCTGCCAATAATTGCCTTTCTCTCCTGCCAATAATTGACTTTCCCACCAATCATTTTATTGCTGTTCCATTCATAATCTTCTTTCTCTCCAGCTAATATTTCTCTTTATCTCCCACTAATAATTCTTTTTTTTTCTGTTCCCCTCATAATTTTCTTCCTATTCTGCTAAGAATTCTACTCTGTCTCCCTAGAAATGTAGCTTACGTCCCTGTAATATTTCTCTCCCGCTACTAATTTTTACATCCGCTAACAAATCTTGTTTATTCTCCTAGTAATTCTGTTACTTTATGCCTAATGATTTTATTTCTATCCCCCTAATAATACTCTTTCCCTCCCGCTAATAATTCTCTTTCTGTTCCACTAAAAATATATATTCTTTGTCCCCTAAGAGTCATCTTCTTCTCCAGCTAAATTTTTTCTTCCCATTCCCCCAACAACTCCCTTTTCCTCCTGCTAATAATTTTATTTCTCTCCCAATAATAATTCTTTTGCAGTTCCCCTAATAATTTAATTCATCTGCTGCTAGTAATTCTCTTTTTCTGCCATTAAAAGTTTGAAATATATCCCTTTAATAAATCTCTTTCTGTCTCGCTGTTCCCGTAATAATCCTCTTCGTTTGTTCTGTGCAGCCAGACGAAAGGGGCTGTGTCATTTGTGGCCGGACATCTTTGCAGCCCTGAGCTGCTAGGCCTGAACAACAGGCTTGAGTCAGGGTTGACTTACAGATAAATAYGGCGCTGCCTTTGTAGAAGTACACAAAACTCTCCTGTAAATTTGAACATAGGCCTGTCAGACGGTTTATGCTGACTTGCATGTAGGGTAATCAAACTGCAACCTTTGTAGGCTCTTGTGCAAGTGTCTTTGACCTTGACAGGAACCCTCCCATGTGAGGCCTGGGCTCAGAGCCCACTGGAGTTGAAGCGACCCCGGTGGGGAGGGGAGGGAGGGGTACCTGATAGAGCTGGGCTGCTCCTTGTTGTGGGCACAACCTGGTGATTGCTCTCAGGCTTCTTTTAGCTGCTCTCTGCTCACCAGAAGATGCCTTTAATCTGCCCTGGATTTCCCTAGAGAGTCGTCTTGTGCTGTCAATTTCTCTCGGTGCATACAGAGCCCCAGGAACACCTTTATTTTACTCTGGAGTGTTTTTTGAGTGCTTCTTTTTGTGTTCCAGCTCCATTTGAGCCTGTTAGTCTTGGTAGGCCCCTCTAGTCTCTTCAGAACCCCTTCCTGAGGCCTAGATGATCCAAGAATATGAAGCAAAGATCAGTTGTAAATACAATAGGAAGATAAATGTTGTCATAGTTTTTCACTTCAAAGGTTGCCTGACCCTTTTTTATATCATTACTATCACATCTTGCTATGACTTGGTAGACTTATCTAGGTTAATTTAGAATTAGCTGATGTTGCTCTGCTCTGATGTAGAGTATCAGTTCATATTAGGAAGGAATTTTCTGTGAAAGAAGGAATGGAAATGGCAATGATGTGGTTTTTCTAAACTTGTTCCAATCTTGTTTTTCAGATACAGAATATAGCTGAGCAGGACTGGGGCAGCTTTTCAACAGGGCCCTGTGAGCATTGTGTTTTCTGTCTGAGATAAATACGGTTTTGTAAATGGGTCTGTCATCAGTGAGCAGCTAAGAAACTTGTTTGGAGAGGAATTCAACTTCTATCTCAGCTTTCCTCTGCAGAAAATTGCTGAACATGAACACTGTTTCTATTGTATGTGTTTTCTTTTTTCTTCTTTTTCCCCTTCCTCCTCCCTTCCTCCTCCCTTCCTCCTCCCTTCCTCCTCCCTTCCTCCTCCCTTCCTCCTCCCTTCCTCCTCCC